TAAAATTGCATACAGAGAACTTTCTACTCGGTGTTTAAATAACACCGGAAGAAATTTCAGAAATTCTGTTTTTTTGGAGGGGAGCGATCTTAACACTAAAATATTTTGAGAATATATAAAGTAAAGAAAATCTGAAGAAAACGGGAGTGTACTGTGAATTCGAAAGTTATTAACCTTCTAATTAATCATAATAAAGAGTTGATTTTATAGAATTAATGAGTTTTGTTACCATTCTCTTTAAACATACTAGTTTAGACTTTTTTATTTCTGAGAAAATATTAAATTACTGACTTTAGACCGATACTAATCGGTTTTGCAAGTCTTCATTTTACAATAAATTATACTTCCATATAAAAAAAGTTTTATTTCTACTAGATATATAATACAACTCATAAATGCTGTAAGTTATATCCACGGAAACATTTTCCAACTAAAGTTTTCTCGTCGAGTTTTTAAAAGTGTTCACTTCATTGCACCGCGCTTTATTTAATATCACGTCTCCTATAAAGTTTGCTGCTAACCGCCCCCCCCCCGTAGGTCTCTGAAGGAAGCGCCCACGCACCTCTTGACGCACGTCGCCGCCCCTCCCCTGTCTCTTTCTTCTTCCGGCCCATCAGGTCGCCAGCCTCCCCCGCAAGTAACATGTCCACCGCCCTCCGGGGCTCCGTCACAAGACCGCGCCCCGCCTTGCTACTTTTTCAACACGACACAACTTCTCCATTAAAATTACGATCCATCTTCCCGGAAGCGTTTTCTGTTAAACAATTTCATTTCATTTGCGACTGCACTCGCGTTTTAAATGTGACCTGGAGATCTTCGCCGTCCCTGGGGGGCGCCATGGCAAAGAGGTGACAAGTTAAACACTCGTTGATGTGACGGGGTAGGCCCACCTGTCACCCGACGCGGCGTCGACGCCACGCCGACGGGAAGAGAAAATCCGAGGAAGAAGCGAAAAACGCGGAAGAGCGCGCGAGAGGCCGAGAGGCCGCTAATTGCGCTATCGTTCGGATGACTCGCCCGCTGCGCCTGCCATCGGCCCAGGGATTTGCTGCTTGCGGCGGCTGGAGCGAGAGATAAGAGAAATTTACTAGGTACAGGCGCCAACAAAAGCAGACCGGCGCGCACAAAGCTCCATTTTAAGCGAGTGGAATGCGTTGTTCGGCAGGCCAGGTACGCTGTATCGGATCGGACTGAGTGCCGCGTGACGGATCTGGTGCGAATTTGACAACGGGGCGTCACGGTTCCCGCCAAGGCGACACGCCACGCCCCACGCGGCCCACTGGCGCTCCTGGTTTTATGGCCGTTAAAGCTGAAGCATAAAATTTCCGCCTATTTAAAGCCCGTTTGTTCCCGCGGCCTTCTGGCTGGGCCCTTGCAGACGCCGGCCCCGGAGTAAGAATGCGGATTAGAATGAATCAATGCCACGAGGGATCAAGGCGGGATTGCTCCTTAAAGTTTCCTAGTTTCCTGCAGTCGTAGCGCTTTATCTTTCCCTTAAAGTGCCCTGGCGTTGCCCCTCCCCCCCCCCCCCAGGCGAGTGACGTCGCTGCGTTTCTCAGGGCCTTGGATGCTCATGAGCGCGTATGGGGTGAAGACCGATATCCAGAAAGTTGGGTAGTTACTTGCGACTCGACATAACCCACTTACTAGGCTGACATTTCCACACTGAGGAAAGTTGACAAGAAGGTAATTGAACAAAGGGACTTGAGATGAGAAGCCATCCTCGCTAATGAGGGAGGAAGCACAACACAGTCTCGCTGACTGGCGGCTCACAAAGTGCCCGCTTTCGCGAAAACATTACGTCCCTTTTTGGAAAGTTGGACATATTTAATTTATACTGCGAAGTTTCATGCGAGCGTTTTCACATTCATTTACAATGAAAATTACATCGTGTTCAAGTAAATTATGTGGAAGATAGAGCGCAGCATTTTAACTCAACTGCAGCAAACAAATCACAGATTATCGTATGAAACAAATGGCCGAGTATAAATCTTATACAGTAACTCGGCCCTTCTTTATGCACTCCACGTTTAACGAGGTATGAGAAATAATAACCCGCACATTTCAAAATATCTAGCACTTCTAGAATTTAAAGATGAAAATAATTTCTACAACATTAAGGAAATAAATATAAGAAGTAAAAACACACAAACATAAGTTACTAAATTGTTTAGTAACATTATCTCGTGTGCAAAAGTTTTTTAAAATTTAAGTAAAATACCACAGTCTTTACATGAAATAATAAATGCCAATCAGGTGGACGAGATCGCTAAGACAGTTGTGCTGTAGTGGTTTCGGACCAGAAGATCATAGGTGTATTTGTGTATGTCTAAATGAGTGTGTCGTCCTTTTACCCCTCATTATCATCATCATTTCATCTTTCATATCCCCAGGGCTAACAACTTTGGGGAATAAAATCAGACTCAGCTAAATGCTAGCCCCCAATTGGAGTTACATGCACCTTTCACCGCGATAATGATACTGAGCCACGGTAAATGCAGGGTGCATGCATGCGTGGTCCTAGTCGGCCAATTCGCGGGCAAAAAAAATGTATTAAACCTTAAAATAAAAGTGATCAAATATTTTCATTTCTTTAGTGTCAAGCAGTGTAGATGATGTAGTAACTTGGTCCGCCACATACCTTGACAACTCAGTTCAGATTTACATTCGAAGGACCACCGTCTTCATCTCGCGAGATGTACTCTTTAGTTGACCTGAAACGAACTTGTAATCTCGTATCATGGGCTATCATGGAGGAAGATTCATAAAAAAATCTGTTCAACTCAAATGTAATCAAATTAAAATAAACATTTAGAAGATTGGGAAAATTTAGCAACGTACGATTTATAAGAATGTTGATTATTCTTCCAAGAAAACACACGATATGTTTGAATTAACAGAACTATACGTCCAGATATATATTTTCAATAATGAAGGTAGAAAGCACAACATTTAAATTAGCTGAATGCTATTGATACATCAAATTAGGGTTGGTAATGCCTGATGCTAAAACGCAAAGAGAAAATACTCAGGTTGGTGACAAGACGTGCAGAAAATACTTGATGAGCTCCATGTAAATGCCCGGCATTGGAAGCGGGTGATGTTGCAGAACAGCAGAGTTGTTACACCACCGGACCATTAGCTGGCGACTATGTTGGCAGAGCACATGATTGTCATTGAATCGGAATGTTTGTCGGAAGACATGAGTTAGTCTGTCGCGAAGCAACATAGATTTTAGCGTCAGTTATTTGTCGACAACACCACAACTTCCACTAACGTGAGCTTGTAATCTAACATCACATGTCAGGAAGTTATACATTAACAATATGACACAATTTACAGTTCAATGTCACGTATATTTTAATAATGCAAGAATCGTATAAAATACATATATATAGTTTTCATGTTACAGTCATATTGCCGAAGGATGAACAGTTCAGTACAGAGAATTACTTATAACGTAATATCGTGTTGTAAGATGATTAGGCTTTAAAACACACGAACTGGTTGGCACATGGTCAAGTATATTAACTCTGTGTCATAATCACATAATAGTCGTACGCACATAATTAAAGAATGACTGAGCACGAGGGAGGCACAGACACGTCCATCTCCCACAAAAGATGTAGCTCGATTGAGGTAGGCCGTTAGCGGCGTGGAAAAGCAAACATTGGTCGCAGTTTTTTTCGTCTATGTCAATGAGAGTGAAGTTAAGCTGTTGTTAATTTAGAATGATTATAAATTACATTATTTAAAAATTTAAAAAATGTATTTGAGATGCTATTTTATTTAGTTATTTCTGAGAGAGTATTTAAAACCTATTATTATGGGTGAATTAATCTCTCTATTTTATTTAGTAATTCCTGAGAGAGTATTTAAAACTTATTATTATGGGTGAATTAGTCTCTCCATAATATCGTAGAATAGTGGTGTGATCGTTGCGTGATGTTGCGAGAAGCAATGTGGAAAATTTACGCTTTAATAAATTATTGAGATACAGAATACAATTTAAATCATTTGTACTTGCCTGGCTCAGACACGTGATAAGTGCGTGCACTACAGATTTAATAGTTTTAAAAGAATAAAACCTTTCACCGACAAACAGAGATCTTCGTTCTGCGAAAAACTGCCCCCCCTCCCTCCCCCGAGTGCAAGACGATAGCTGAGCGCTCGGGATAAGGCCGGGAAGCGGCTTGCCACGCGCCATTTCTGCGAATCTTGAAAGCAGGGTTGCCAAATTAGGGAATTTTGTTCCCAAAATGGGGATTTTTTTGGTGTGGGGAAGAAATGGGGAACATAAATGGATGAAAAAAAGTTTGGGGAGTTTTGAAAGAAATTATTTTCTCAATTATTATGACTAAAAAAGAAACAAGACACGTTATTCTCTCACATTATTATGTGTCAAAAAGATAAAAATAGACGACAGGTACGTACAAATCACAAAATAAGATGATGTAGGTTTCGACGATGAAAAGAACGATGGGAAAGGACGAGGAAAGACGATGTTTGTTTTATTTGAATTTGAGAGGACAGACAACGGAATCATCAGGGACATCATGTCGTAAGATCGTATTATAGAGACTGATTTTCGTTTCAAAGTGTGGGAATTTTGTTTCATTGAAGATATTATTTGGGGAAATTTCGTAGTAGTGGTGGGGAAAGAGCTCACATCTCGGAAGCCATCGCGCGGGCGACCACCAGCCGTCGGTCGCTCAGGGCTTCGCTGCGCGACGTCTCTTTTTCGTCACGAGGTCAAGGGATTCTGGAAATGTAGAAGTCATCCGAACTTACTGAGCTACCCTTTCCAGCATCACGTTCCCCGTTCAGATTGTTCTAGTAAAAATGTAACAAAATACCGTTATAGTCACAATAATTTGCGCCAGGATAATTTAGCAAGGGAGAGAAGAATCTGGATAGATCGCGTAAATATATCTTTATGAACAAACAAAAGATATATTACAATAATATTTTGCCATTTATATTCTGATTTTAATTTGCAGATAGGAGTGAACGTAAATGAACAGACTGTTTACGTAAAAGCCCTAAAAGTCTAAAAAATTACTACGTTATATGCAATTATAATTTTATAAATGTAAGTTACAGTTGTGACACTATTTCACATCTTTTGTTTTGCACTGCTACTTCTCTACTGCGATTGGTCAGTACGTGGTGAAGCGAACAATGCTACGTAAATAATGTAACGTACTAGTGCGTGTATCGTTATGTTACTTTTTAAATGACATGCCAGTGCACACGGGAGCGTATCTACTTATCCACAGATTGTTGTGTGCGACAACGACGCCATGTGTAGACAGCGGTGAAGCTTGGTATTGGCAGCAAGTACCGTATTACCCGTGAAGCAGGCGCGGGACCTGATTAATATGTGATGTGCTGGATGCAATGGAAATTACGGCAGTGAGGAGAATGATCACCTTTCACCTGTTCGTCCTACAACTAGAATATAGAAGATTGCGGATCTTGCTTCAAATGGAATTTGTTCTTAACAGTTATCCATTTTATTAATGCAGTGTAATTAAAAAAAAGTATTGCTCGTGAACATATGTATGGCGTAAAATATGGGCAATATTAAAAAAAAAATCGAAAACCAGATTTTCTCAAAAGAGCTCTATTTTGTAAACTTCGTATTTGGATAACACTAAATTCACTGTATAAAACGACATAAACGCCATTTTGCTGTATTCTTTGTAGTTGTTCCCAAAATTTCGCAAATGGTTTATTTTGGAACTTCTCTCCGACGTCATTAATATTTACATTATCGGCAATTTGTATACAATATTGCATTTGTAATGACAAGGGCTTCAATTGACGACTGATTAAATTTTTCGAAAAATCAAAACTTTTCCGTGAAAATTATCTCAAAATTTTACATTTTCAAAAACGTTCAAACTGCATTTTCTCGAAAACAGTTCCCATTCACCTCCGAACTTTTTGTATGGATAGTGCAAAAACTGCTGAATAACATGACATGAATACTACTTAAATTTGTTCATTTGGTCCTTCAAAAATACACCAATGTATTTTTTAAATATTTCTCACGTCGGTAATATTTACTTAATAGCTTACCTTATACGTTTTCATATTTGTAAGTACAATTCTTTAAAAAAAGTTCTTATCAAGTCTCTCGAAAATTCGAAAGTTTTGCTCCAAAATGTGCTTCAACATATGCATTTTCAGAACCGCTCGAACCTTTTCTTGAAAATGCATTAAATTTTCCAATGAAAATGTGAATGTCTGGCTAGATGTATTCGTTTTATAATATTAAAAATTTGTGTTTCAATTCTACTGCTATTAGGGAGCCGAACAATTGATAAAACGTGTAAAAATAACTTTTAAGCGCCAATAATTGGAGGGCGGGCCAAAACCGAAAGGAGTGGCAACTTTTTCGACGTCTTTCTGCTACTTTAGTATTCAATATAGTGATTTTCTCTTGAAATAATGTTTTTTTCCACAATCAGATCTTTAATTATTGTTATGTACATTTTTTCAATAATTTAGTAGTTTTCCGGTAAGTATGAGTGAAATATAGTCATTTTAATATTCAAAAACATTATAAACAAGTTTTTATAAAAAAACCCGCTGTAATTTTTCTTACACTTTCTGCACGGATAGTACTTAGTGCACTATATAACATTACATAAACGACATTTTCTGTATTATTTTTTTAATTGCACAAACGTAATAATTTTTATATTCTCACGTTATTAATATTTTGATTACCGGCGATTAGTAAACATTATTGTTTTTGTAAGTTAAAGTACTTCAAATTATATTTGATAAAGATTCTCAAAAATAAAGGGTTTGTTCCAGTTTTCCAACGGTCATCTTGTAAACAGCGAGCTGGGTGAACCTCAGATAGGCTTCTGAAAATCGTTACTATACAATCGCAAAAAAAAAATGCACTCCATGATGGCCAATACATATTTAATTACGATAATTATTCTTTTGGAATGCGTTAATTGTTCAATTGAGATGAATATTTCTCCATTAATTAAATGACCCTTCATTTAACTAATTTCATATCAAATAACATTGGTTTGACAAAACTAAAATTAGGAGTAAATTTTGCTACTTCGAAATTCAATAGAATTCATTCGTAGAATTTAATTCATCGTAGAGGAGTCAATGAAGAATAAGCCATGGGATTGTGTAATTTATTTTGAGTACTAAGAAACAGTCATCTCTTTTCTCTTCTTACACTACTAAAAGCAAAAAGTAGAAAATTAAAAAATGTGATTGATTTGATTGTTGCTGTTTTTATGATACAATCAGAAACGAAATACAGCAGGATATTTGAAATGTAAGAAGAAACCAATTATACTTCATATATCCTACAGTTTCACGTATCTGATTGATTCAAAAGACAGGATTTATACATATAATGAATTTCAAAATATATAATGAATATCAAAAAATATCTATAGTTAATTTAGGTTTGAATGGATTACATCTTAGATGTATTATTAGTAATACCAATATAGGTTGTAAATTGTTTGATAATAGAGCAAATGATTTCGTCAATGCACCTATTGGAGAGTATCCGGTATCCCACGATGATATCAAAATAGAACTACCAAAGAAATAAGACCCTACGGAATACCGAATGGATTAGATCATTGAAAAAATTTAGACTTTATCGGAATTAGAATCTTTAATAAACACCCTTCTTCGTTTTGAATTACAAAGAATCAATGTAAAGTCTCGTTAAATAAATTCACATTGTAAATTAACACATCAACACTTGTACATTGTAATGTACATTGTAACATTTTAAATGAACACAATACTGCATAATCAGGCCCTGTATTGGGATTACTGTAAATAAGCCCTCTGTACACCATACACTACATTAGTATTGTAAGCCATTTGTAAAAATACTGGACACAATACTACTCTTCTAATACTCTTCCTGGTTTAATCAGTAACTAACCTTACATAGATTATGTAAAGAATATTATAGAAAGCAACATTTTAAATGAAACGTAACAATGCAAATGAAAAATCTGTAACAGGTTGTTCCAGAAAGTTAATATAATCAAATGGAGTCTTTATTGTATTTTTTTTTGGTATTATCATTAATGATCAAGATTTGGGTAATTATATTGTTGGTAATGTAAAACTGTTGTAATTTCATATTTTTGGGGAATGCTTTGTTATTACAAGTCTCCCTGTTGTATCTTGTGACGTTGCGTTCCAAATGCAGCGCAACGGAGCTTGAAGGCATTTTCCTGTGTACGAGCGGCTTGCGCGCGCTGGGCCGGCAGCGCCCCTGGCGGCGAATCCGCGCCCCGCGCCCTGCTCTGTGCGGTGCAGTGTGTCTGAAGCGAGTGCTGGGTGCTGTTGCAGATGTGCCCAAGTTCGGGGAGCTGATCAACAACGTGACGGCGCCCGTGGGCCGCGAGGCGACGCTGGCCTGCGTCGTCGAGGACCTGCTCACCTATAAGGTAGCTCACCTTTCATAAACGTTGTTTTGCTATTTGTGCCCGGGCGTAGCGACTGCTTGGCGGAGAAGAACGGTGACGGCCGTACCGTGGGCGATCAGTTGGGTCTGTTTGGACCCAGCAAGGCCCCCGCATACTGTAGAGGAATTGCGCTAAGAAGGGACCAGGTCGGGAAACAAATAAACGTCATGCATGGCGATGACAACGCTAGACATGGGAGATTAAGCAATTTACAAATGAGCTAAATGTAAACGAAGTCACTGACAAAATAGTGCAAGGACATAACTACAGTTATGTTGCAAACAGTTGTCCAAGCAGTCGCTATCAAAGCGGTCCCTTCTTATAGTAATCTTTTTATACACCGTTCGCTGGTCTTGTTAGTCAGTGTTATTCAGCCCTCAGTGGCAGACATGCCGGCGCGGAAGCAGCGGCGGTAGAACACATAACACGGCATGTTGGCACTGATTTGTGTGCGTGTGTGATGTGGATGGAGGCTGTATACAATAGGGAAGAATATTTAATTAGTAAAATAGTAGTGTTCGACGTCTGAACAAAACATTTCACAGAACAGAGTCCTATAATATTGCCAGAGAAGATTTGAGAACTTTAATAAGCATACTTATTTTACAATTATAAATATCCAACGTTTTTCCGGCTTATTGTCACAACAGACATGCGAGTGACTCATTTTGCGCGTTTGCTGTCCGCCGAGAGGCGCCGGCTTCTCGTGCTGATTGGCAGCCGAAGGGGTCGAGAGTGCCGTTGCGCTCAAGGTCACCGCCTTACGTCCTTGACTGAGCGGGCGGACCTCAGACGCAACAGCTGAATCCTTGCAAATTCAGTCTTGGCTACTTGGGGAGGGACTGTTGATGTTTGATATTACGTTTCTAGAGTTTCAAAATATATTTCAATGACATGAGACGATATGTTTGTAACTTAATTTTTATGGATTCACCAGTTCATATATTCTTCCACTGATTTATAATTCATCTCAATTTGGGAGCTCTTTGAAGCAAGGGAGGTGGGCTTATTTGAAATTATTCTTTCTTTTCTAGTGCATACGTCTACCACCGCCGGGTTTAATTCTAGGCCAAGCCTTGTCAAAATTGTGGTGCCGAATGCGAGTTCTCGGCAGCTTTTCTCGGCAGCTTTTCTCGGCACTATTCTTGATAAAATTCACATACGGGAGAAGTGGCTTAGTGCATGAACTGATTTCACTGCAGTCTCTCTCTGATAGGGAGGTCCTACGTTTGAGTCCCGACAATGTTGAAATTTTCGACACTAGCTTGTCAGATAGGCAGAATTCAGCCGTTGTCTGGAGGAAAATTCCAGAGAGCGGCTGCTCTGATCGGGAGTTCTCCGTGGTTTCTCCGATAAACAGCAGGCAGCAGAAACAAACGGGTCGCGGTCCGCGCGCGATATTTCCTTCCTCTGCTTGTCCTATCTTCGCTCCTTACTCACCCCTCACTTTCACTTACATGTACTACATTACCACTCACGGCCGGGAGACCGGTCGGGAGCTTAGAGCTTGTCCCGACTGGGGCAGTACCCGCTGGTGGGAGATACCTGGTTGGGAAAATCCCGTTTGTCGACGGTATATCGGCGCCGAATTATCGGCGCCGGAAGATTACTGTGAAATCCCGAGAAAAACATCACTACACTTACGGGAATAATGACCTCAGAAGTTGATGCACCCGGAATCACTAACAATCAGCCAGCCAACCAACCAAAACATTCACCTGACATTGCTACTCTGCTCGTTTAAAAATCGCTGAAATTTAAATCTCTCGTTCATGAAATACGTAGTATAACGGTCAGTGCCTGCTACCGCTACTCGCTCCATACCGTGTTGTTTCAAAACACAAACATTATCTTTTGAGGTCTAAGAGTTCACACACTAAAACATATGTTTACATTACTATCGAGAGTTGTTGTTGTCTCCACTAACGGAAATTAAATAATTATTTCAAAGAAGATATTGCAATAAGTACCTACGATAAATATTTCAAAATATTAGAAATCGTTCAAGTACTATATTACAAATTACCGACAAGTTCTTAGTTTAATAGCGATTCTGTATACATGCAGAAGGATGATTCCCTATTTTCTTTAACATGAAAGATAATCATACAAAACGCAAAGATTAGGTTTTTCGTGACTCGGTACTCCTCGTTAAGAATAGAAACTCGAGATATTAATGCGAACAACCAAATGTCAAAGGTGCAGGAATTTACCAATCAAGAAGTAACCCCAAATACGGATGCGAAGAGCATGTTTTCAATCTATTAACAACTACTTGCTGCTCGTTTCTCACTTGTGCACTTTTCTCTGGCGCGTGATTAAGTGTATAGTGTCTCTACAAAACAAATCTTGACTTTTACAAAATAAAATGTAAATTTTCCATTCGATGCGATGTGATTATACGATTGCTACTCTACGTTGCCTTTTCTATTAATCCTGTAGATGTATTTGTATTCGTAAGTTACAATTTTTTGATAATCTAATATTCTAATGAGAACAGACTACACCCCCAATTAGTTCAGTTTACCACGTTTTTAAAGTATATAATTTCTCAAGAAATTTAATTGTTAATTTATGAATGTATTAGGTGTCTCATTCCCCAAATATGTTACAGGTAATAAAAATACGTTGAATTAGCTAATATTCATGACCAGATTTCTGGGGAAATTGTGTGATATTCTTGGAATATTACAATAAGTTGTTCACCGAAAGAGATTAAGACAACTTCACTAAGAGTGAACCGGACCTTGAACAACTTTCGTAAATAATTTGCGCAGATCATTCTTTAGGTACTGGAGCAAGTGAAATAATAATTTATTGCATTTATACTTGCTACAGAAATGAAAAGAGATAATTTAATTTATTCTTATAGATATCAATAGGTATTTTCTACTAAAATTACTGTTCGGTCGTTATACATTCCTTTCCGTTTGATTTCTGAAAATGTTATAATGTGATTTCTTGAAAATATTATATTCACGACCTTCAAGGTTTGCAAAATATTTAAGAGTTACCTGATGTGTTTAAGGTTTGTTAATGTTTAGATATGTAATCGTTATTCAAAATAAATCAAAGTATTATCTAAATATTAAGATATGATACATTTTCATTCCTCTTTTTGTGATCTATCTCTTGCAAGTGCGAAAGTACACGGTTTCATTTAAAAATATTAAATTTTTGAAAACTAAAAATATTTCAAACAAGCCGCATATTACATACATACATACAAATTAATAAAACACTCGGAGGGCTTCGAGTTTCTTTAAATTGATTAGGGAATATCAATTGTGAAGAAAATCAGGCAAACGGTTTTGTTATAATAAATGCTAGAATTTATCGTGAACGAACGGACGGACGGACGGACGGACGGACGGACGGACGGACGGACGGACGGACGGATGGACGGATGGACGAATGGACGAATGGACGAATGGACGGATGGACGAATGGACGATTGGACGAATGGACGGATGGACGGACGGACGGACGGACGTTTTGCCGTCATTTTTTCGGTTTCAAGGAACCATTAAACGTGGATGAAGTAGTGTATAAATGAACAATATTTATACACTTCTTTTATTGCTACGGCCCTGCAAAAAATTTTTCCAGTCCAAAATTCGCCGTTTTTCTGTGCACTGTTACGAACTTTCTTCAACGATAAAAGTAAATTTAATGATACTTTTTGTATATAATTTCTCTAAAAGACAAAAATGAAAAAAACGATTAAGTTCCATGCGATTTACTAACTTACTTGAATAAAATAAAAAATAATATTATTATTATGTACCAAAACCATACAGTTTGGCTGTTAGAACAGAAATGTTCACAATTTCGACTATTTCAGTCTCTACGTTGATATTTTATGAAACGGAAAACCCGATATGTAGTGAGCAGGATGACTTGAAAAAATAACTGTTTGTTTTTTATTTTTTCTACGAACAGACGTTATGCATAATTAATCCACAAGTTTCACATCTCGCTTTTCACAAAGGCGTAAACATTATTTAATGTTTCGTTATAAGAGTTGTATACGCTGTGGGCTCTATTTCTATGCTTTTTATGTTGAATATTTGCATAGTCGTTTGCGAAGAGCTTTTCATGTACATTAAATGACAGTCGCTTAGAATAGTTTGCGTACCAATTTAAGCGAGTATTAATATATTTACTCAGGAATTTAATATAGCAGTACATAGCACACCATGCTCTTGTAAACTGTAATATAAATTCCTGAAGTAGAGTATTTGCAAAAAGGAAAAATTCACTCTATAAAAAGTAAGATGCATATTGCATTTGTTAATATTTAACGCAATTAATTGTACTCTTTATAATATTCAACTTTCAAGGATGTCAACTAAGGTGCAGTGCTTAGAGGGAATCGCCCGAAATTCTGTTTTTTCATTGAATTAATATCACATTAAAGTGCATAAAATGCGTGAAAAATATTTTGTTGAATTTTCTGCTCTCTCTTTTGTCGAATTTCAAAGATGACATTTCATTCATTTAGTTGTTACTTGCTGATTTCTTTATAATCAAATTACTATTACTTTTTTAATTTGAAAACCCAGTCGTAGCTAATTCAATAAATGAGAAATATACCTTACACTAACAGACGCGTATTCGGCCACACTGGATCATCAATATGGTTGCTTACGGCATTTCCTGCCGGAATAGCCAACTTTTGAAATTATAATTTTGATCAACGCTCTCACTTTTGTTTTGTTTCTCACTCTCCTGCGGGGACACCTCGCATGGTTGAGACTCATTACCAATACAAAAATTTCTGTTTCGTTTTACGTTAGATTTACCCAAGATTTTCTTCTCAAAAGAAATAACACGTTGAAGATGATGATGATGATGATAAATACGAGGAACCAACATGTGAGTGTGAGAAATGTTGACGAGTGTTAATTGCAAGTGAAATATACACTTAAAAATTATGCATGGTCTGAGTTCTACGTTAATTATGCCTTTGATATGGCAGTAGTAACACATCTGTTGCGACACATCCTTATAACAATGGCGAACTATCTCCGCACAATGCAAATTCATGAGCCACAAACGCCCCAGCTTCAGAGCGAGTCGTTTTAATTTTTTGTAACAATCTTAAATTTATAAAATGTCCCTTTTTACATAATATAAGTATTAACCGTGTGTTAAGATCGTGAAATTACGTGAAGATTGGACGACTCTTTAACACAAGAGGCAACTCTCATAAATCGACTGTGTATATACGTTCTTAGCCGACAGTGATATTTCACAAAATTTGCCGTGTTAACTTATCTCTTTCAATAGCTACCTCCATAGTTTACTCAGCATTTCATCCGTGAACTTTAGGAACAGTAAATTCCCTAGAAACGCGTACACATAGCGATTGCACTTACTTTAATATCGAGAGTGCTTTGTAGTATTTCTAAATGATCACCGTTGTACAAGTTGGAAAAATCATTATACTATTCCCCATTTGATGTGCACCTAAAGCTTCATTAAAGTATTACATTTCTCTTGAAAGCTGTACAGATAATGCGCATAAGGTTAAAATCGTAAAGTGATAGTATTCTTACTGAATACATCTCTGGTGTATTTATCTTTTTTCATCTTCAGGAATGATAGAGCAGTTATTTTTTAAGTGTGTTCACTTACAATGTTTTTCCTTATACAATAGCTTTTTAATATTTTGTCATATTATAACTCTATGCCTCAATGGCGTTAAACTAAAAGTTAAAAAAAAACATATTTTTTGCTGTAGAGGGGTGTGACTGGTGAGACGGTGGTTAAGAAACCTTTCAAAAATCTTATATTTATGTTAGAGGTATAGTGTAACTATTTATATATCTGTTGGTTTTAGGGAACTTTTTACCATCTTATGCAGGGATGCCCGTTAGATTTAGTTATTAAGTTATTACATAAGAAAATATAAGAAGTATTTATATATAGAAGAATACGTAAAAATTCTTTCAATAACGCATATCTAATGAATGTTGATTTTGAAGTAAATATTTGGCCAGAATTATATATAGTTTAATTCTGGTACAAGAGGAAGTAAACGAAATTTTTAAAATTTTGGATGGTCTGAGAAAATATAGTGCTTTGAAGAATATTGACCCTTGTATTTTGTATACACTTGTATACAAAATAAACTTGTATTTTTTGCATAATAAATAAATTGCCCTTGCTTTGCAGTCGCCAATTACGTTTCCATTTGAAGCAAAAACATAAAGTGCATTTCGTAAAATTTCCCTCCTTCAAAATTAATGTTCAATTTTTACTGTTTTAGTAGTAAAATAAATGAATCAATAGGTAAATGAATGAATGTTAAATTGAAGAATGGATAAATAAATGCATAAATGACTGACCGACTGAATGAATGAATGAATGATGAATGAATGAATGATGAATGAATGAATGAATGAATGAATGATGAATGAATGAAGGAATGAATGAATGATGAATGAATGAAGCTGCAGTGCGAAAGTACCACAGTTCATTTAAAAATCAAATATAAATTTTTTGACAACTAAAAATATTTCAAACAAAGCAGCATACTGCATACTACATCAAATTAATAAAACATCGGCGCTTCGAGTTTCTTTTAAATTGATCAGGGAATATCAATAATTGTGGAAAAATAGGGCATAACTGTTTTGTTGATTAATAAATGCTAGGCATTTATCTCTGAACGGCACGGACGACGGACGGGACGGACGGACGGACGGAACGGGACGGACGGACGGATGAACGGATGGACGTTTTGCATTCACTTTTTTTCGATTTCAAGGATCCCATGAAACGTGGATGAAGTAGTGTATAAATGAACAATATTTATACACTACTTTTATTGCTACAGCCCTGCAAACAATTTTTCCAGTCAAATTCTCCGTTTTTCTGTGCACTGTTACGAAGCTTTCTCCAACGATAAAAGTAAATTTAATGATACATGTTATATAATTTCTCTAAAAGACAAAAATGAAAAAAACGATTAAGTTCCAAGCGATTTACTAACTTACTTGATAAATTAAAAATAATATTATTAATATTAATATTATTATAATGTACCAAAACCATACAGTTTAGCTGTTAGAACAGAAATGTCAACAATTTTGCTATTTCAGTCTCCTACGTTGATATTTATGAAACGGAAAACCCGATATGTAGTGAGCAGGATGACTTGAAAAAAATAACGTTTGTTTTTTATTTTTCTACGAACAGACGTTATGCATAATTAATCCCAAAGTTTCACATCTCGCTTTTCACAAAGGCGTAAAACATTATTTAATGTTTCGTTATAAGAGTTGTATACGCTGTGGGTCTATTTCTATGCTTTTTATGTTGAATATTTGCATAGTCGTTTGCGAAGAGCTTTTTCATGTACATTAAATGACAGTCGCTTAGAATATTTTGCGTACCAATTTAAGCGAGTATTAATATATTTCCTCAGGAATTTAATATAGCAGTACATAGCACACCATGCTCTTGTAAACTGTAATATAAATTCCTGAAGTAGAGTATTTGCAAAAAGGAAAAATTACTCTATAAAAAGTAAGATGCATATTGCATTTGTTAATATTTAACGCAATTAATTGTACTCTTTTAATATTCAACTTTCAAGATGTCAACTAAGGTGCAGTGCTTAGAGGGAATCGCCCGAAATTCTGTTTTTTTCATTGAATTAATATCACATTAAGTGCATAAAATGCGTGAAAAATATTTTGTTGAATTTTCTGCTCTCTCTTTTGTCGAATTTCAAAGATGACATTTCATTCATTTGGTTTGTTACTTTGCTGATTTCTTTATAATCAAATTCTATTACTTTTTAATTTGAAAACCCAGTCGTAGCTATTCAATAAATGAGAAATATACCTTACACTAACAGACGCGTATTCGGCCACACTGGATCATCCAATATGGTTGCTTACGGCATTTCCTGCCGGAATAGCCAACTTTTGAAATTATAATTTTGGATCAACGCTCTCACTTTTGTTTTGTTTTTCACTCTCCTGCGGGGACACCTCGCATGGTTGAGACTCATTACAAATACAAAAATTTCTGTTATGTTTACGTTAGATTACCAAGATTTTCTTCTCAAAGAAATAACAGTTGAAGATGATGATGAATGATGATAAATACGAACCAACATGTGAAGTGTGAGAAATGTTGACGAGTGTTAATTGCAAGTGAAATATACACTTAAAAAATTATGCATGGTCTGAGTTCTACGTTAATTATGCCTTTGATATGGCAGTAGTAAACATCTGTTGCGACACATCCTTATAACAATGGCGACCTATCTCCGCACAATGCAATTCATGAGCGCCAAACGCCCCAGCTTCAGAGCGAGTCGTTTAATTTTTTGTAACAATCTTAAATTATAAAATGTCCTTTTTACATAATATAAGTATTAACCGTGTGTTAAGACTCGTGAATTACGTGAAGATTGGACGACTCTTTAACACAAGAGCAACTCTCATAAATCGACTGTGTATATACGTCTTTAGCCGACAGTGATATTTCACAAAATTTGCCGTGTTAACTTATCTCTTTCAATAGTACTCCATAGTTTTACTCAGCATTTCATCCGTGAACTTTAAGAACAGTAATTCCCTAGAAACGCGTACACATAGCGATTGCACTTACTTTAATATCGAGAGTGCTTTGTAGTATTTCTAAATGATCACCGTTGTACAAGTGGAAAAATCATTATACTATTCCCCATTTGATGTGCACCTAAAGCTTCATTAAAGTATTACATTTCTCACTTGAAAGCTGTACAGATAATGCGCATAAGGTTAAATCGTAAAGTGATAGTATTCTTACTGAATACATCTCTGGTGTATTTATCTTTTTTCATCTTCAGGAATGATAGAGCAGTTATTTTTTTCAAGTGTGTCACTTACAATTTTTTTCCTTATACAATAGCTTTTTTAATATTTTGTCATATTATAACTCTAATGCCTCAAGGCGTTAAACTAAAAGTTAAAAAAACATAATTTTTTGCTGTAGAGGGGTGTGACTGGTGAGACGGTGGTTAAGAAACCTTTCAAAAATCTTATATTTATGTTGAGGTATAGTGTAACTATTTATATATCTGTTGGTTTTAGGGAACTTTTTACCATCTTATGCAGGGATGCCCGTTAGATTTAGTTATTAAGTTATTAACTAAGAAAAATAAGAAGTATTTATATATAGAAGATAGTAAAAATTCTTTCAATAACGCTATCTAATGAATGTTGATTTTGAAGTAAATATTTGGCCAGAATTATATTAGTTTAATTTGGTCAAGAGGAAGTAAACGAAATATTTTTAAATTTTGGATGGTCTGAGAAAATATAGTGCTTTGAAGAATATTGACCCTTGTATTTTGTATACACTTGTATACAAAATAAACTTTGTATTTTTTTGCATAATAAATAAATTGCCCTTGCTTTGCAGTCGCCAATTACGTTTCCATTTGAAGCAAAACATAAAGTGCTTTCGTAAATTTCCCTCCTTCAAAATTAATGTTCAATTTTTACTGTTTAGTAGTAAAT